GTTCATGAAAGATGAAAGTTCATTGAACCTAATGTTATAGTTAAGATATTTTATAACATCATCTAATATGTTAGGGTCGGGCGATACGCTAAATGTTAGTTACGGTATGTTTTTTACACATCTACCAGAGTCGATAACGATTCTCCCTCGCGGTGTGTAAGATAGTACACTCATCATGTTAAATAGTAAAGAAATCGAATAATCAGATAGTCAGTGTTGACAAGTAGTTTTTATTTTTGAAAAAAAAAAAAAAAATCTTCCACTAACACTTATGAGTTACCTTGCTTAGGCTTACTAGTAAACAAGTTGCGAAGTAACCTCAGGAGTGACGGGCAATGGCATCGATCAACCCGTTTAGTTTAGAACCTCGTAGACATCCTAGCGTAATCGGTTGCTACATATTGTTGTATATTCAAGGGCTAACGTATTTCAAAGCACGAGAATCAAGTCTTTGGAAGTACTAATCGAGTCGAAAGAATTGTTCATTTCAAGGCCCATCCCCTTGGCGCCTCTCATAACTACCCTCCGAAATGGTTGATAACCCGAAAGGGCCATATTACTATACATGGCCATGAATTTATATGTCTTGAAGGTCTCTAAACACACATACGCCATCGAGGAGGCTGGTCTCGGGATTGGTGGTCCTGTCATATTCTCATCACTTCAGCGAGGAGCCGCACGACTGCTACATCTGCACTACGCAATATCCTGATATACCAACTATGAAGCGTACTTTCGAACTCTTCAGGCCAACCAAAATAACGCTGATTCCGTATTATCTGGATGGTGAATCCAACTGTTCGCACACGTTCGGTGTCCAAATCTTCAGCCTGGATACAGCGGACCCATATCATGCCGGCGAGAAAAACGGCGGCTATGTAACGAACGATGTTGATAACGTAGAAAGAAAATATTGAAAGATGTCTTTGGTACCTATAAGAAGGCACTCCATGATAACTTCGATATCGGCTTTGCCAAACTCGTAACTATTGGCAACTTCAGCACTCGGGAGTTCCCTAGATGAGGTAAGTTATTATATGGAGGGCTGCGTCGGTACGACTTCTCTACTCGGCGGATGGTGACTGGAATATGTCGGCTGACTTGTTCGATCGAGCCTTTCCCGAGAGCATCTTGGATTCGCTTGGCCTTGACAACCCTAGAAATGAGGTAAATACGGTTTCGTGTCGATGGAGGCGTCTCTCTTTACCGACGCGATGTCCGGGGGCTTAGAAGCAAAGTGTACCTGGACGGGCAAGCGGATTGACGCTACTAATACTAGCCGGCGACTTTGTGAAGAGGGCAACATGTCGGTTAGGTGTGTCGACGAGAACACACCATCAAGGATACTGCACCGTGCCTAGTGCCCTGTCGCTGGACTTAGGACGTGTTGATTTGCGCGGATCTGAGCTTGCATCCGTTCTAGAGGGCCGCAACCCGAAGTCTCCATTACGACGACTCTGTCAAAATAGCACTCGAGTTTAAGTATCCCTGGTGGATCGTTAAATGCTGTGCGCATAAAGCAAGGAGTGCTGTCTCGACAGACTTACCGTTACGCACTTTCGTCTATCCGTCGTATAACCTAAACGATGGTACTGGCAAGCCACAGCGGTACTGTTGTCATCGTATATTTGGTCACAGGACACGATTTGGTCTCGATACGCTCACAGCACATAAACGTACGGGCGTATCAAGACTGCCTAAGAGGGCATACATCGCTCCTATTCGTGGGCGCAAGACCCGACCACGGCCGGCGCTTTTGTACTCTTCGGCTTACGGCAGTTTAGCAATTTGTACCCCTACCTGGCTTGGTTGGCTGCTGGTAGCATGTTCTATAGGCGTGGTGTCTGGATAGTCGGCGCCCTTGACAGCGCTCGTGCTGCTGGTTTCCAGTTTCCTTGTCGCGTTGATATATGAGAATATATCACCAAATTGGAATAGTACTGGGGTAAAGCAACTGGGGTAACCGACCCAGAAATAGGGATGAACGGATCAGTACATCTACAAGTTGTATCCGGGAAGCTTCGCAAAGAGGATCAAATAGAATATGTACCTACTAATCTCTGAAGCGATTAAAGCTACCAATAGTAATGACTTATGAACGCATTCTAGTATCTGTTTTGTTATCTGGAACTGAGGGGAACTCGGGTTCACGATGAGGCCGGAAATAGGTGGACCTCGGTGACCTGACCGGGAAATACGGGACGTGCCGTTTTTTTGGCGGACAATTATTCGCCGACTCGGTCCACGTCGTTGCTTACCTGATACATAAACGTGAGGTGTCAACATGTCTTGTACTACATGTATGCACCTATATCTGTAGTGGACGGTGACTGTTGTTGGGCTGTCATATAGTAGATCGGAACTTGGACGTTATCCGCTATTGAGGCTCTGTGGTACATCCTTGGAGATGCGATCACGTCTTCGCTGAGCGAGGCAAGCGAGATGTTCTTGGATTTTGTGCCTACAATTGGCACTACATCGCGAGATACTACGTAGTCTCATCTTTTTTTTTTTTCTTCAAGAGCTGATTCTTTGATGGCGGCCCAAACAGGTGGTTGGCTCCATCATCACGAGCATTGATGATCCATGGAGCTCCCGATTTGGATGGGACTAGTGGAGTATTTGACCGCTTTTAGCTATTGAAGATACTATGGTCTCAAGGGTAAGTAAAACCACAGCCATAAGTCGCGCACTAAAAGGTAGCCAATGCGGTACTGGAAATGCTAAAAAGCTGATACCAATTTTGGATGATAGCCACATCTAACCCTTTTTGGTGGTACCTAAAGGGGTGGTTTTACTTTGGCCTGGTACCATAGTAGACTTGGCGTCTGTGGGGTTACAATCTGGTACGGTATGTATGTTATTGCAGAATATAGGTGATGGGGTTGCATATAATGACGAGGATTTGGTTGCTGGCATAACACCAACAACATCTGACTATGTTTCGCGATTTATATTATAACAGGTATGTAGACTGTAGTGAAAGTAATTAGTTCGGTGATAGGAGTGCGATGGAGGTCTCGGATGTCCGATTTCTTGCGATGAGTATTTCTCTAAATTCGGTAGCGTACGTAAACGTAGACGTAGATAAAGTTGGGGGTGGATCAAGGCTTAGAAGCCGTCAAATAGTTGAAGAAGAAGTCTGGCTTAGAAGATGGGACGTAGCTGGTGTGGGTCTATACCTACATACATTAGGTACCTACATAGTGTAGGTAGATAGGCGATAGGGTAAGGAAAAGGCAACCACATCAACTCTGCCGCGGCTTGAACTTGCCCATTTTTGTTGTATACCTTATGTACCAGATATCTACTTCATAATATGATTAGTATCGTATACCTTTTTGTACATAGACAAAGATTATCTTCATAGTTGAAATATTGCCAGCCCAATTTTCATGTCAAAAACAGATTGGTCAGATCTTTTCTAATTTGTAATGTAAGATCTGCCGCGGAGACACCTGGCGGTGATACTCTACTGTATGCATACGGATACGGTACCTATCTGTTACAATCTGCAAGCGCCGGTTGTACCTTTCTAATCTGGGATTGATGACGCTATTGGCTTAGGCCAAATCAGCCACGGACGTGTTTGGAAGTAACCTGTCAGTTTCATTCACCAGCCCCGGCCATACACGCCTTGCTCTAGAAGGACCTTACCTGAACTTTGTCTGGGAATATGAGTCAACTGTGCCTTAGGTACTCAAAAAAATGACAACTCCAAAATGATTTTTTAAAGCTTTAGCAGGTAACTTGGAACTTGACAAGGAACGAATGTCGGTGTTCCGTAGGTACCTAGGTAATGACTGACCGATCTTTGTCCTTGATAGATGTATGCTGGGTATTCAAGCCACATGCAATTTTTGGTAGGTACCTAATAGCTCTTACCTGAGTTTCGTACATACATGCATCCATGTACGTTGATAGGTCTGAAACTTATTTCTCAGCTGGGACAAAGAGTTTACATGAAGTATCTGCATGTTCCTAAGCGAGGCGAATTACGCACCGACAAACTTCAAATGCTACAGACGAAATACGCACCCTGATGATGACTAGGTTGTACCGCCACACCCACACGATACCTAGAGTACGCAGTAACACATATACGGTTAAGCTTCTATACATATACATAACTATACTGACATACATATAACTAGCATATTTGACATCATCATCAAAAATCGATGGGTAGTAATATTACAATCTCTTTGGGTTTTCTTGGGTTTATTATCTATATGTAAGCTTACCAAAACGTGAGGTAGGTTATTTATCTGTTCTTGATGTTTGTATTGCACATGTAACTAACTATTGAGAGCCTCTGCATGCACTGTACCTAGTTGGGTAAGTATTGTACCTAGCTTAATCCATCACTGTGTGGAAGGACCTAAACGATACCTAGGCTACAGTGCGAGATGACCAAGCTAGACCGAACCAGAATAATTCCGACACGCATCAGCGCCAATAGGTAAACTGGAACTTGCCGCCGCCTCCGCCTCTTTTCCCCTTCCCACTGCCACCTGCGCCTGCACCACCACAATTTGACGTTCCCCCCAAGCACTTTTTTTTCCTGCTCATCCACAACCTACCATCTTGTCTTTGCGGCTCAGTCGTCCACTTACACTATTGACCTGCCGAATCTCTACCCGCGCAACCCAGTGCAATTGTATTGTTCTTGATCAATTTCTATCGGCGAAATATACAAGAAGGAGTACCTGATCTTTTGATTGACAAGATTATTGTTCATTTATAGTAAAAAGGAAAACAGGGAAAAAAAGGTCCTGAAAAGATCAGCATTTGGACGCGCTTTGCCGCGATCATCAACAACACCATCAATTCATAGCAGCAGCCACGTCCTCCAGCCACACATCTAGCCTTGCTATCCCATCGAGTTTAACGATGCGTCGTTGATGCGCCAGAGCTTTCTTCGCGCCTCTTCTACGTCGATATCGAGTCATTTTTCGTAGGGGCCTTAATCGTGTTCTTGTTAATTATTGTTCGGACCTATGGCGTCCGAGAAAGGTCCCGTCGCGACGGAAGCCCCGCCCTTCTCATCATCTAACACCTCTCAACCTACGATTCCTTCCGATCCCGTTTCTGTCGAGACCTTAACTGCTGAAGCTGCTCGTGCGACGCAGTCGCTCAAAAGACAGCGGGAGTCTTCACCTCTTTCCCCGTCCTCGGCGTTATCAGCACTCCATCGTGAACTGTCGCCATCAAAAGTAGCCAGGCTCGGCCTGCCACCGAGATTCTCTTCGCCTCTAACTGGAGCTGCAGCCGTCGAGGAGGAGCGGCGCAGAGAAGAAGAACAGTACAAGATACAGGTTTCTGGTGCTAGCGACAATCCCGCCTTCAAAGCTCAATCTGCATTGATGTCTGCCAGCGCTCTCGCCATGAGCCGACCTCAGGAAGCTCCTCAGGATGTGCCTCAGGATGTGACCCAAGATATTTCACAGGATATTTCACAGGAATCTCGCCAGGAACCACCTCAAGCTGCTCCTCAGGTAGAAGACGGGCAGCCCGCGCCTCCTCCCGTCTCCATACCGCTTCCTGACGCCCAAAATTCGGAACCAAAGCCCGATGATATTAGTCCTCAGAGCGCGACTAGCTTGGGTAGCTTAGGGGGTGGACCTGGCGCGCCAGTGACGACTAGCCCTGGACCTATGGAGCTTGACGGGCATACTGAGCATCCCGGCTTTGGAACGCAGCCGCCAGCTCCTATGGAAGAGAAGGGAGTGACTTCGCTGTCGTACCCTGGTATTCTTCCCTCGACCAACATGCCAGCTCCTCCGATCCGGGGCATGAGCATGCCGATGACACCGAATCAACAGGGCGGACCACGCTCGCCGGGTTCGAAAAGGCATAAGTGTCCATACTGCGAGACGGAGTTTACGCGCCACCACAACCTAAAGAGCCACCTTCTGACTCATAGCCAAGAGAAACCATATGTTTGTCAAACATGTTCAATGCGCTTCCGTCGCTTGCATGATCTTAAGCGTCACACTAAGCTACATACCGGGGAGAAACCCCACGTATGTCCAAAGTGTGATCGTAAGTTTGCGCGCGGCGATGCTTTGGCACGGCATAGCAAAGGTCCCGGTGGTTGTGTGGGTCGTCGGAGTAGCTTAGGGAGCTTTCTCGGCGAGGAAGAGGCAGACGGTTCAAGCCACCTTGAGGGCGATGATTCCGCGATGACTGGTGTCGTGTATGATGTTTCCAACGAAGGTGAGTTGACGGAGGAAGAGAGGCGGCGTCTTAGTTTACCCAGCATAAAAGCTCAGCATGTTCAAGGTAACCAAACACTACTCGAACTCTACGTTTCACCTTTTTTAACACCTCAACCTTCAGGGTCTGCTACGGGTCGACTCTATCCACCCAATGTGGATCGTGGTTCCGGAAGTTCGAACGCGTCCCAGACTCCCGGCACAAGCATCTCATCTCTCCCCGTGGGGGCTACTAACCCAGCTTTGTACGCTCAAAGCGCCATGACCGAGAGCCCTAAACCCTTAAGCCCCTCTGGCGGGCAGGGCCATGACTCTGCAAATATTAATAGACAGCGCTCGCCGAGTCTGACGGCGCAGTTCCAGCAACAGCACTTCAACCGTCACCAGTCGGATCGGCACACACCTCCAGGTTTGTACAGCCCAGAGTCTCCTAATGCATACTTTCATACTGAGAATATCGAAGTGCCTGGATTTTCCGCGGCCGATGCGGCTAGATATGCCGCCTCTGCGGGAGCTGTGCAGGGTTCTGCCCCTACTGCTCAATCGGCGTCCGGAAGCTCGGGCCAGCAAATAGTCGCTGGCTCTGGGATCAGCCATTCTCACGTATCCAATGGTCCTAGTCAGAATGGCGGCAGCGGTGACAGCACTAGCAACAACATATTTGCGACTGATCAAGGCATATGGGCTTACATCCACGGTCTCGAGGAGCAAGTCAGGCAACTAAACGAACGTGTCCAAGCCATGGAAGCAACGGGGAGATCCCAGGAGGAAAAGATTACGTACCTGACGAACGAAATGACGGCCCTTCGAAGCGAAGCCGAGATAAAAACAGATGTGACTGAAAAGGTCAGCTGAACTGATGATTTCAGTTGAAGATCATGGCATTACGAAGTGAGAGACACGGTCAAGCGAAGAATTTGTTGTGTACGCATGGTGCATATGATGGATCCAAGGGCTATGCATCTGATTCTCTGCGGTCGCTGCCTTCTTCGTTACGGCGGACACAGGCTTGTCGTTTTAAGGGGGGCGTTTATGGAGTTTTCAAGTTGCCTACGAAAAGCAATGTTTCTTTTTCCTGTCTTTTGACGACTTACTCGAGGTCTTTCGCTATTAGTTGTTTTGGTGATATCCCTATGGGCTATTTCGGATTCGGATTCGGGTGGAATTGCAGCAAAATAATTCCACGCCGTCCATTTCCATGTCTATGTCTATGTATTATATACTAGTGCAGATAGAGGCCTCGAGGCAGGGCAAAAAAAGGCAAAGCCATCGCTATATTAATCAATGCTATCAATAAGTCACCTGTTTAATTATCTAACCTACACGGTTACTTGGTTTTCTGATGTTTTTTATGGTCTGATCCTGCTTGTCCGGTGTGGTGTGAATGGATTTTATAATTTATGTGAGCTGTCTATCAAACAAAACATAACCTTGCTTCGCTCGTAGTATGCTTGGTGTAACAGGTGTAGTTAGTAGTGAGAGGATCTCCTTATTCTATGGAGAGCTTGAGCCACGCACGGCCACAACCCCACCTGACTTGGAAGTCCGCCAACTCGGCTGACTCAACATCCAACCTTGTACGTACCCTATACTTGGCTCGTGCGCACAAGACTTGGGGCCACAACCCTCACACAAAAATTTCCTGCAATCACCGGGGGCTAGCGCAGGCAAACCTAAGCGAAGGCTTCTACCAAATTATCCACCTTCAGTCTAGAAACTCAACAACCCCCCATCTCAATCTTGAACAATTTCGCTCTTCGACAGCGACAACCCACATTCGATCAGCGAAACTTCTTGAGCATCACCAAACCACAATCATGGCTGACGACCCGGACTACGTACGTTATTTAATCCCGCCGTTGAATATTATTCCTGCTATGGAGTGAAAATCCGATTGAGGAATTTGCGACTGACTTTGGATGCGCAGAACGCTGAGGAGGCCGCCGAGCTCAAGAAGAGAAGACAGTTCCGCAAGTTTTCTTACCGAGGAATTGACCTTGACGCGTATGTAATTTTTTTCTGCAATCGGATCCCATGTAGACGCGACTGTCTGGTCGCAAAATCCGCCTGGCTTGGTCTTGAAGTGGGATAGGTCCGAACTGAATATTTTGAGGCTAACATGATTTTTCTACGATAACAGTCTCCTCGACCTCAGCTCCGAGCAACTTCGCGATGTCGTTCACGCCCGAGCCCGCCGCCGGATCAACCGAGGTCTCAAGCGAAAGCCCATGGGCCTGATCAAGAAGCTGCGCAAGGCTAAGCAGGAGGCTAAGCCTAACGAGAAGCCTGACCTCGTCAAGACGCATCTGCGAGACATGATCGTCGTCCCCGAGATGATCGGCAGCGTCATCGGCATCTACTCCGGCAAGGAGTTCAACCAGGTCGAAATCCGACCTGAGATGGTTGGCCACTACCTGGGCGAATTCTCTATCTCATAGTACGTCTAGGCAATCTCTGCAGTATAACGCAGAAGGATATATATATCTATATATGCAGATGGCTAACAAATTCTATAGCAAGCCCGTCAAGCACGGTAGACCCGGTATCGGTGCCACTCACTCTTCTCGATTCATCCCTCTCAAGTAGTCAGTCTGCGGAAAGTTGGAGGGTTCTTGCACTTGCATTCATGGATTGGGCGAACGGAACGGTTCTTTCTCGGTAGATAGGCAAATGACCATCAACCGAATGCGCTACATGATAATGATATGAGATCAGTCTGCGCTAAGCACATTACTACGCGGATTTATTTGATGACGTGACTGCTTTGTGCCTCGTATTTCTCGCGTACTGCTCTGGCGATGCGATGTCTTAGGTACGTAATTAGGTTACGAAAGTCGTAGTGTTTAGTGCGGTATGGTATTTTGTGTCCGTCTGCTGCTAATGTGTTAACCTGGATTGGATAATGACTATTAATTCTTAATGACGTAGCATATCTGTCTGTAATTTGTTTACCTATCCATTAAGGTAGTCTACATGTTTGTTACTATATATGTTATAATTAATTCCTCTAGTGAGACAACTTGTTACTCGATGGCCATAGTATAAGTACTTCTATTTCTACTAACTAGAGCATACGTACTACACCACATAGATGTTAACGAAATTCGGAGGCGGCCCTGTACTGAAATTATATTCGTTTACGAAGTTCCTCTCTCCCCAATGAGAGATAGCCCCTAGGCGAGATGGGTCCGAAGAGGATTTACATGTGCGTCACTCGATATGGGATATATATCTACGATATACGAAGCGGGCCTTGGCAAATCCCATGAGAATCAATCATATTCAACCGGTGAAGGACAAAACAAAGAGACTATTGCATGTATAGCAGCCATCTATCTGCTTCCTTGTTGGAGTCTGATCGGGTAGGTACCTAAGGTATGCTTATGTTTTATGTACATTTGCCGCGTAGAGATATATGTCAGGTTAGGTACCTAGGTATATGGTACCTATGTACGTATGCGGCCGTTACGAAGTCTCCTGCTTTTGCTCCTGCTCTTGCGCCCTGGCCTTGGCTTGCAGGAGCTTGACTTTGCGCTCCTCCTCCTCGACGGCTTGCTTGTGGTAGTGCGCGGTGACGTGGTCTAGGTTCGGGTAGAAGCCCGCCGGGACGTTCCAGGGGGAGCCGGAGTAGAGGAGTCTGGGAAAGGGAAGATGGGAAGGTTAGCGTTGGATCTCTCTCTCTATATATAAACCTGCCGTAAAAGGGAGGGAAGGGAAAGGAAGGGGATAAAGGACGTACTCGGGAGCCTTGAGCTCGACGTGCGTGCTCTTGCCCGCGTAATTGAGCAAGTGCTTGTCGTGGGCGGCCTGCTCGATCATGTTGGAGCGCAGGGCGTTGCGCAGCTCCCAGTCGTTGAAGTAGTCGAAGCTGCGCAGCCACTTGGAGAAGCTGGACTCCTCGCCGTCGGGGCCCGGGCGCGAGATCGAGTAGGCGAGGTAGCTGGCGGGGACGGCGGCGGCGAAGACGTAGAATGCTGGCTGCGGTAGGGGCTTAGTTAACAATGCTCTATTCCATCCAAAATGTTATTTCCTATGACATACTCCTAATCCCTCCGCGACCTCGGGTGCGTGGTGGTGGTGGTGGTGATGGCTATCATGGCCGTGGCTTTCGGAGGCGTAGGATCGCGAGGTTCGCGGTGCAGTGGTAGTGGTAGTAGTAGCGGTAGGCCGCGCGCGCCTGGCTGCGCAAGCTGCTCTTGTCCGGAGAGCCTGCATCTCGGGTTACGTGGTGGGATGGTGGGATATGGGATATGCCCAATTGGCTTCGGAATTGATGTCGTCAAGCTTGTGATAACGAGCTTCTGGGTGTTTTATTCCGTATTCCGTTTAAAGACGCTGGACTGGAATTGAGGCATAATGGTGGGGGCTGTTTTGGGCCAATCAGGTGTTGTGTAATGGGTAAGCTTTATGTAATGTGTTAGTATTGTGGTTTTACTGTATTGCGTACTGTACCGTATTACATAGTACCTAGAGGCATATGTATTTAATAGTTGGTTATCGAGGTATCTTGGTATAGGTTAGGTAAGTCTCTTCTGAATTTAACCTTTGTATACGATGTATTTCTATATATTGCTATGTAACTTGAGGAAGTTATTATCAATTAACTAGTTACAAAAGGAATAATGTTAGAATCCACTCATATTTCTATATAATTCTTCATGTTACTATCCCTCTTATCTTAGTCTGCGAGTCGTGTCCAGTTTACTGTTTACCTATTGCAAACTGTCCTAAATAAGACGTTGCCACATCACTCAACTTGCAAAAGCTCACTTACAAAAGCTCACTTACAAAAACAATTTATATATCTCAATACTATTTTACTACTCTCACTTAGCATAATACAATGGGTCACTCATATACACATATTATTATGAAGAGACTTGCCGTCGCAACCTTAGTTGCCTCATCCGCCCTCTCCCTCACACATGCATCATCATCCCCCCCATCTGAATCCCCATCCCCATCCGCAGAAACAGAACTTATATGCCACACCGACAACCCCGCGGAATGCTATCCAAAAGTCTTCTCCGCCACGGAAGACTTCCAACCCGTCCACGACGACCAGGATCTTCCCCCCGGCCTACACGTCCAGCTCGACGTCCAGACCGGCCAGAAACAAGCTAAGCTGTATAACCCCGCGGAAGATGAAAATCCTGCTCTGCAAGGCTTACCGGTAGACCGGGCCGTCGTCGTCGTAGACCCCGAAACTACTCTACCGGTACCCCAGGACGACCAACCACCCCAAATCCCCCCCGGCGCCCCGGCCTACGAGCCCGTAGGCGTAGTCAAGGCGCCGCAGGAGAAAAACGAGGGTTTCATCTCGGCTCTCGAAACGCTGAAGAAGTCTTCAGGGCCCAATAGTAGCGCCGTCAACCCAGACGATCTCGATAAAGCCCTCGAGGTCCTGGAAGATCTGTCTCACGGGATGTACTACGGCCTGCAAATCGCCTCGGACCCCGACGCCCTACACGCCCTATTCTGCCTCCTCACCGCACGCGACGCAGCACAGGCCCAACGGCCCCTCTCCCAGCGCACCGATTTTCTCGCCTCCGCCATCCTCGCGTCCTCCGTCCGGAACAACAAGCCTGCGCTCCGCGCCGTGGAGCAATCCTGGGACTCCCTCCTCGAGAAGCAATGTCTATCTTCCTCTTCCTCTTCCGCCTCCCCCAACAACAGCTCTCTGAGGTCAGAGCTCTTCTCCGCGCTGCAACCTACTACCACAACGCCCGGCTCGGCGGAGGAGGAGGAGGAATCCGCCGAAGCATACGCCACGCGCCTGAAGCTCGCCGTGCTAGACGGCCTGCTGAAGAGCCCGCGTATCGCGGCGCAGTTCCTCGCGCACGACGGCATGCGGCACTTCCTGCAGATCCTGCAGCGGGCAGATCCCATCTGGGACGCGCGCAAAGCCAAGGTCGCGCGCATCGTGTCCGACGTCTTCCTCGACGAGGACGTCGGTGCCGTGCTGGGCGTGTGGCCGACGAGCGCAAGCGTAGCCGAAGCTAGCGTGTGCGAGGCCGGCGGCCCGGATTCTCTAGAAGAAGGGTGTTGGGAGCACCACCTGGAAGGTATCAGCCAGGGCCCGGAAGCCCCGGGTTGGAGCCGGCCGCTCCTCGACTTGCTGAGACGGAGGCGGGCGGAGAAGCGGGCGGCGCAGGATAAGCGGGATGAATTATAAAACAACGACAACAACAACAACAACAACAACAACAACAACAACAACAATAATAATGATATATTATCTAAGAGGAAACTCACTCTTTCAATATAACTACGGCAATGACAAGCACAGCTAATGAATGAGGCGTTTGGGATAACTGCATTTTTCTATTTTATTTATGTATTTTACTTTACTTCAGTTTACCCCCCGACGAATACCCTGGCCGCAGCTTTTTGTGTCGAAGCTGCAGCTCACTACATAGAGGACATACATTAGGTACCTACATATATATATCTTAGTCTTAAGGTAACCTAGCAGTGCCAAGTCCCAGCCGAACCAACGTTCCGTACGCTTATATATATATGTGCATGCATGCAACCCCCTTATTGCACCATGTAGTAGGTATTCATCAGGGCAACGGGTCACGTCTTCAGCCTGCCTATGTCGTCCATGACTTCGTCCCATCGCTTCTCGAAGTCGGCGCGCACTTTCTGCGCGTCTTCTGTCCTTCCGACGCGGCGCAGGTAGCTCTGCAATGTGGCGAGTAGAGTAACCGTGGCGTTGTCGTTGCGCCCGAATTCCGTCTCGCATATATCTAGGCTGCGCGTCATAAGGTCGACGGCCTCCTCGGCGCTCACCTCGTGGCTTGTCGGTAGCGTCCGCAGCATGTTGTAGCAGCTGAACCGCGCGAGCCGTGGGTCCCGTCCCCCGCATGTCTCGACTAGCGTACGCGCTGATGCCGCTGCCTCTGTCGGCTTGTTATGGAGGTTTGTTAGCCACGATAGGTGGTGCCGTAGTAGATCGATATCCTTCCTTATCGCGTCTTGTTCGGGCGGATCCGCCGACGGCGACGGTGAATTCTCGAGATTGGCGATGAGGTCTTGCATGTACTTCTGCGCCGTATGCATCTCGATGAAGTTGCTATTGAGCATGGCTCGATATATAGTTGCCAGCCATGTCGGTTTGAGGCGGCTGTCAGCTTGCACGGCTTGTAGGAAGACTTGTATGAGTAGGCCGACAAATCTCGTTATTTCGGCTGGGCTGGCGCCTTTTAATCTCGCAAATAATAGGTGCAGAGGGTGTCTAGGGCCGAAGACGATGCGGGACATGCCGCGGGCGTAGTTGATTAAAGACTCGGCAAGGCCTGGTCCGGATTGTAGAAGCGCTCCCAGGGCAAGACATGTCTCGATGAGTAATGACGGGTCTTGTCGCATCATCACTTCCCTATAGTCATCGAAGGCTATCCTTACCATGCGGAACCCTTGTTTTGTGAAACCGTTGATAAATAGTTGTCTGGCAGACGACACGGGGTCCAGCCACGCCCTCGGTCGGCGTGGAAATACTAGTTTCCTGTCGGGAGTGAGCTGCCAGAGAGACCCTTCCAAGGCACCCCCGACGTAGCTCTGCACTATCTGCATGCATTCCTCGGGGAGCCGTAAGCTGTCGGGAGCTTCCACGCGTCTCGGTACTGGTATCGGCTCTGGTTCGGGAGACGGAGTACGGCATATGATCTCCTCTATGCTGCGCTTCTGGGCCTCGACTGATTCTATCTTACCCGAGAGGATCGCTATAAGTTCTTTGCGACTAGCAGGCGAGACTCGTCGGAGGTACGCGTTGAGCCTATCCGCATCGACCTTGCGGCCGTGGACGAAGGATACCGATGGCTTGCCGACGGCGGCGCGGCGACCCCGCTGGACTAGAAGCTCGGCCACCTGGTGAGCCCTTAGTTTCTTGTGTAAGCCCCATCTGTTGAAACGGATCTTATACATCTTTTCCCTAAGTGCCGGGTTAGACTTATACGTTGGCGGTTATCTATGCGCTAGGGTCACAGGCAGAAGAAGCTTACGTTGCGAAGAAGTAGTATTCCTCCCGCATGATACGCATGACTTCTTTCAAGCTCTTGTTTTGTTCTAGATATAGCTCTGTGATGGTGTCTCGATAGTTGTTCCAGTCCCCGTCCTTCGCAGGGCCATTATACCGCTGGGGTGCGGCCATGGCAGTGGTGGTTCGCTGGGTATCTCTATGTGAGATGGTCATAATATATACCTATGTATATAAATTCGAATTCGTCTCGCTTGATTAGCAAACAATACGATAAACCTTCTTTCCCAAGCTCATACCCAAACTCGTATGTCGTTTAACTATAGATATGTAAAAGAAGTATAACCATTATATACTTGTAAGGAAAAGCGCGCATCGGGAAATGTCCCGTTCGAGGTTGCAGAGGATGTCGCGCGTGTGATGTTCTCGAGGTAGACAGAGACAGCGGAGCGGACTTAATAGACAGAATAGGCATAATCGAAGTCTTGTCACCTCCTGCTTCATTATGTCGCATCGCCTATAACGGGAACGACATGTTCGGGATAGGCGTGTCTCCAATAAGGCTGGCCTTTATATTAGTCAGGGCAGGGCAGCCATGATGATTCGCGAATCGAGAATCCTTGTCGCACCAGTGGTGCAACCGTCAGGGGGTCACGTCCGGACTTTGCCCTGGGCACTGACGTCGAATGACACGCGTGTTATAGTCGCTCAACAATGGTCGACCTAAGCCATTTTTAGGTAATATCTACTATAGTAACGCGGTATATTAATACCGCCGTTGATCGACTCTTGTTCCAACTTCCAATCAACCTGATGATTGTTTGACTTGCTTGAAAGCTTAGTAAATGGTTGAGCCTGGGGGTTAGGATGTCGGTCCTAGGGCTGCCAGGAGGATGAAGGATCATAAGAATTGGGCGAATGGGAAGCTAGTGCATACGTGAGTATCCCCAGTTCGCCAACTCCTATTGGATATAACTACCTTACCTAAACCTATTGTATAATATTTGGACTTTGTTCTAGGTGGACTTTTATTAGTCTTTACCAAGGTTCTAACTCTCAGATGCGGAGTTAACTTCTTGGCTTCCACCGTATAGAGTAGTGTATAATGTTACTCGCATATGATCCCCCTAACTGCGACCCAACTGTGAGCTACAACGGGCTACCAGATGTCAGTGGAAGCCGGGGGGTGCCAATGGATGGAATCCAATGGATGGAATATGGAACGCATTCCTACCTTCTTCGGTGCCGGAGTACACGGAGTTCTTCCCTTGTTCTAACGTTCCAAATATTTAACCTACCTATGTTGCCGGATGCAAGTTACTGTATACTACTCCCGACCGCAGTATACTAGGATTTCTCTCCAGCACGGGGTGGTATCAACTCAATGAAGATCCCTCTGGGCAACTTCATATTACGTTCGGGTCAACGGCTATTATCACGCTTCTTGAATAGCTGCATAGCGGTCGAGCAATGACGACAAGACTCTAGCCGGATCCTTGCCGGGTCCTTGCCGGGTCATGTGAGAATGGCGTGTGTTTACCTGAACGGCAACGGCCCCGAATTTTCATCAACGATAGACAAGAATCCTTCGGCTTTTTTTGAGAGTGGCAAAAGGAAAAGCGATAACCATGCGCTACGTTGATGGCTATAAACTTGAAAAGCTGCTTTTTGGACCTCCAATAACTACAGTTAGTGTAGGTATCAGGCTACTTTAACTGTTAATATACTGTTCATTGACAAATAACTCTTGGTCACCTCTATTCGATGATGACTGACCTTCGTACTTGTAATAGCCGGGCTTGTCTATATAACCATAACCTAGCCTCGGCCGGAGCTAGGCTGGGCAACACGTGGATATCTCTTAGAATACCTAGGTTATGTAACTAACTGTTTTGTGGTACTACCAAGTGGTCCTAGCGAGGCTGAGATTAATAATATTCAGGTAGGATACTGATGGATGGGTTCTCTAGTGTAAGACCGGCGAATTGGTTTTGCCAAACTTCGGCTGTCGGCCATCTCATGAGCGGAACCGTCAGATGGACCCCACGTTTCTATAAGGATAACTACCATGTTGTAACTCTGTAAACCTAGGCACGATAAAGGGGGAATACTACATACGATACCTTATGTTTCCCGATATACCATCGCGCTGTTGGAATATCAATACAGGAGGATGGTAGTATATAGAAGTTGTTGAAACTTGGGGTCTTAATGCAATGAAACCCATATAGTGCTCTGTAGGGTCTAGATGGAAAAAAGTGATGTGTAACTGGGGGGCTGTGGGGGAAGCGGGCTGTGAATTCGAATACGGGGAACCTTTTTGAATCAGATGCGCCGGCATGGAGCATCAAGGCTGTGGAAAACGCAGCCTTCAGTAATGCTAAGCTTGTATGTGTATCGAACGGAACGCGCGAAGCCGATTCTAAATTAATAACTATTGACTGATTCGGATATTGATGCGACTAAATTTGAAGATGGGGAATATGTGCCATCTTTGGTCAGTAGATGAATTATAGATGTGATTTGTGTTATGATCCCAAGATAATGGAAAATGGAAAAGCCCGATAGCATCCTCTAACAATGTACCGGACACATGGCATATGAGACACCAATCAAGTAGCTCATTGCTGGTGATGGCGTCTCATCAGTGTTGTGAAAGATGTTGGAAACAACCGAAAGGCCAGTTAAGAAGGCCCGAGGTTACCTCAAGAGATGTCAAGCGTACAAACAGGTAGGTACCTCTTATTAATTTGCACAGACCATCTGGGCACTCAAAAGAATAATTCATAAAGCTGCCGACTTACATAATACATTCGACCCACTATCTGAATTGATTTGATAGGTTCCTCGGAAGATGCGATGCGATGCGATGCAGTCTCAGTCCCAGTCCCGTCCAGTCCCGTCAATTCTTATGTTTTTCCAAATTCCGCCACTTTTATATGCACAACATGCATCTACATCTCTCTCTCCATTCGGCACCAACAACAAAATAGTTTTCCGCATCTATGTTCTATGTTTACCGCCTACGCATGCAGTGCACCACCATAGCGTAACATTCAGAGGAACGGGAAGTGTGGATCCCGGTAGGGTTGCAGCCGCGATGCGAATACATTGCCGCCCAACCGTTGTCTAGCTGTCTCTTGGCTTAAAAATGCTCGACCAATGGGGGCTATGCTGTCCTACGACTCGGCGGCTACATCTGACGCTCATCTGCTTCAACCCCAAATTCCACCATCCAGAAGCTTCATACATATGGCCTCTCATCAGTAGCCGCGAAGGCGCCTTTAAGCCCCCCCAGACCATACACTAACCTTGCCAGCTTGCGTCGGCTTGATGTCGTGTAATGGGGGGCTATCGACGACTTGACCACTCATATATCGAATTTTCCTGTCCGACCTA